CACGGGCATTATTACTTAATTGGTATAATTTTGATGTAATAATAATGATAACGTTGAAATACTTGATTTATTATTATTACTCCGACATGTTTTAAATTACATTGTCATTTTACACAACTATTATATTAACCCAGATTACAAACAATTGGCTAGAAAAATTCTAAAAATAAAAAACTTTCATGTTTTCAGATTGAAATTTCCTAGCCCAGTGGTTAGAGCTATGGATGCCCAAACAGAGGTTGATGACATACGTTGGTATCAAATACCTGCTTCGGGCAACCTGATGTCAAGCACTAGTGCTATTGATTGTAAATCAATATCGAGGTCAAATTTCTAATTCTTGGAGCAGATATAGTATTATATACAATAAATTATTCCGAAAGGGTCTAAACAACCCCCATCCTCATCCTCAATAACGATTTCAATACTGATTACTACCAGAACCTATATTAGATCCCAGTGCCCTTAATCCTTATTGCTGCATCAGAAGTCGTCATTCTCCAGTAATTTATAATAATAAATTAATCGGGATAGGACAACCGTTGGGTTGCCTTCTGAAATGTAGTTAAGCCAACACTTACAACACCTTATAGGTTTTCATATTTTATTTTATTTTCAAGTGTGCGACGTTGAGTTGCTGCAGTCTAATATAATGATAAACAATTTAGTTTACTGATTTTTGTATGAGTTACTTTATTTAATCATTTACGTGTATATATTTGCTTTATTAAAGTGTGTGTTATTTTTAAGAACTATGATAATTATTATCAAGAATGCAGTTACAAAGAATATCCATTTATCCATATCAAATACCCAAGAATTAAGTCTTTCATAAATGTTTCAATGAACTACATTCGTCCAATAAATATTATAACATCCGAACTGAATGCATCATCATCGTTAAATATATATATATATATATATATATATATATATATATATATATATATATTATATATATATAATGTATGGATGGGCAGCCTTGAAGTGAAATTAAACAGTTGGTTCATAAACAACAACCAGCCAGCTCTCATAAGGTTCTTCTCATATTGGTACATATTTAATAATAGACAGGACACTGGTAGAAAAATCACACAAAGAATCAAATCGTCATATTTTTAACTAGTTTTTCAGTTAGTTAAATAAATGTGAATGAAACAAACCATCTCTTAGTAAATATCAATTGGGGGAGAGAAGTCTAGTAAGATTTTTATTTGAATTAAAATAAGTCAAGAATTTACTAAATTACCAAAAATCGAATGTTTTTTCTGGATTACCAAAGAGAGGCAGGGATACAAAAATGCTTAAAAATCGATCACGTGATTAACGAAGATTTTTATTTGAATTAAAAAAATGCCAAAATTTGCGAAATTTCCAAAAATCGAGTTTTTTTCTGGATCACCAAAGAGAAGCAAGGATACAAAAATACTTAAAAATTGAACACGTGATTAACAAAGATTTTTACTTGAATTTAAAAAAAGTCAAAAATTTACAAAATTCCAAAAATCGAATATTTTTTATGGATCACCAAAGAGAGGCAGGGATATAAAAATGCTTAAAAATCGATCACGTGATCAACGAAGATTTTTACATGAATTAAAAAAAAGTCCAAAATTTGCGAAATTTTCAAAGATCGAGTATTTTTTTCTGGATCACGAAAGAGAGGCAGTGATACAATAATGCTTAAAAATCGATCACGTGATCAACGAAGATTTTTACTTGAATTTAAAAAAAAATTATTATCACGAAGGGGTGGGAGAGATACAAAAATGCTTAAAAATCGATCACGTGATTAATGAATGAATTAGTAAACATCAAATATCAATTAGGGGAGAAGGGTCTATTGAGATTTTCACTTGAATTAAAAAAAAAGTTCAAAATTTGCGAAATTTACAAAAATCGAATGTTTTTTTCTGGATATTGAAAATACACTTAATGTTATATGGACTAGGGGTGAGGTAGTTGTAATTATCACCAAGGGGAGAGAAGGATACAAAAATGCTTTAAAATCCATCACGAGATTAATAAATGAATTAGTAAATATCAAATATCAATTGGGAGAGAGGGGTCTAGTAAGATTTTTATTTGAATTAAAAAAAAGTTCAAAATTTGCGAAATTTACAAAAATCGAGTGTTTTTCTGGATATTGAAAAAAACACAGAATGTTGAATGGGAGAGGTACAAAAATGCTTAAAAATCGATCACGTGATTAATGAATGAATTAGTAAATATCAATTATTAATTAAGGGAGAGGGGCCTAGTAAGATTTGTACTTGAATTAAAAAAAAAAGTTCAAAATTTACGAAATTGAATGTTTTTTCTGGATATTGAAAATACACGACGAGAAAGGGAGGGCTAGCTTTAATTATCACCACACATCACCAAGGGGAGGGAGGGGTACAAAAATGAGGGGGAGAGTGGGGTCTACTAAGAGAAAGACGAGGGGGGAGGGGTAATTGTATTAATTGCAATGTAACAGCTAAAAGTGTGATAATTCTGATGTCCATCTATCAGTTCAGTTCACCAGCTCTCCCACTATTTCTCTTCGTTATCATATGTTCTAGTGACTGACTCGACTTCACTATACATACTAGTATATAGTTGTATATTAGTATAGTTGTGTGCGATACTATTTTTGCTCGCACGCCAATATAACTAATAAAATTCAACATACATATTTTATATTCCACATGCTGCTGCTCCGAGAGATCTAACATTGCTGCTCTCAGAAGTTCTTCATGTAAATATAATCACGATCAAGAATAATTCGGATCAAATAAAACTAAGAAATGTTTATAAAACATTTTAGTCGGAATTATAGACAGATTAAAGCGACTAATTTGCAATTAATAATGTATCAAGTCTGGGATTTACGTTCTGTGCTTATAGTCCAGTCATTTGGTGCAATAAAAGGCTGTTGCCGGTACAGTACTCCGGGAATTCTGAAAATTGGTAATCTTATGGATTTCGAGGTGCTCTTTACGAAAATCAACTTTGCCACCTAAAATTTGAACGGCAAGTTGCCGCCATATTGAAAAAATGGCGTCAAACAACAGCTTTTTTGAAATATCTCCTTTCTGGCTGATTCTACGATATAAGTATCTATATACGAATTAAACTAGATAAAATTTCCAATAATACTTTAGAAAACCGTTTTTTTGTAAAATTGATAGTTTGAGAGCACGGCCGCCTCAAAGTCTTTGCTGCTCTCGCCTTAGTATCAAATCTGTCCATATATGACAGCACTTTGAACTTGACCACATTCTTTCTAATAAATAAATATTTTCAATGTTATATTAAGCGAATAAGATCTAGAAATAAGATAATTCAAATATTTTTCTGTTTTTTTAACACTTCAATGGCAAAGTAGCTATAAGTAAGTAGCTTGAAGTGTTAAAAAATTAGCAAAAAAACAGAAAAATATTTGAATTATCTTATTTCTAGATCTTATTCGCTTAATATAATATTGAAAATATTTATTTATTAGAAAGAATGTGGTCAAGTTCAAAGTGCTGTCATATATGGAGAGATTTGATACTAAGGCGAGAGCAGCAAAGACTTTGAGGCGGCCGTGCTCTCAAACTATCAATTTTACAAAAAAACGGTTTTCTAAAGTATTATTGGAAATTTTATCTAGTTTAATTCGTACATAGATACTTATATCGTAGAATCAGCCAGAAAGGAGATATTTCAAAAAAGCTGTTGTTTGACGCCATTTTTCCAATATGGCGGCAACTTGCCGTTCAAATTTTAGGTGGCAAAGTTGATTTTCGTAAAGAGCACCTCGAAATCCATAAGATTACCAATTTTCAGAATTCCCGGAGTACTGTACCGGCAAAACGACCAAATGACTGGACTATTATTGGGCAATCCTGGGTAGCGAATTTTGGATAAGACGAGCATAGACTTGCTAAGTCCTCATATGTTTTCCGTTGTATGTAGTGCAAAAACATAGATGGGTATGTGACGTCACGTGTCTGAGCGAACATTGCCGACGACAATCGCGGACTCTCCAATTTTTGCAAGAAATGATTTGCAAGTACGTGTTGACGAAAGATAAATGAAGTGACAAGTAACGTGATAGATGGCAGCACTAAAATATATAGTTAGGAATGAGAGGTTAGGAAACCTCGTGCAAATTGACGTTATATATACGAGGTGTGTTCAAAAAGTACCCGGAATTACTAATAATTAAATTTCGCGGGTCTGGAGTGTCTGATTGTCAAAATTTTTTTTTTATTGTGTTGGTATACATGCCCCTAAAGTATGATGAAATTTTCAGCTATATTCACTGTTTACTTTGTCTGTGGTAGTCGCTAAGGTTCGACGTGTTTTTCTGAGCTCGGCGATTTTTACAATGGAAGAATTGAAAAGTCAAAGAATTTGTATTAAATTTTGCGTAAAAAATGAAATAAAGTGTTGCAAAGTGCAAAAATTCACCAGATATGGCTCCGTGTGACTTTTTCCTATTCCCAAAGTTGAAGAGACCCATGAAAGGACGGCGGTTTTCCTCGATTGAAGAAAATCGCCGAGAGTGCTCAAGGACATATCAAAAAGTGAATATCAAGGGTGCTTCGAAAATTGGAAAAAACGCTGGCATAAGTGTATTATATCTGGGGGGGACTACTTTGAAGGGGACCACATTAATGTAGACGAATAAATAAATATTTTTTTGAAAAAACGAAAATTCCGGGTACTTTTTGAACAGATCTCGTAAATGAAATTAAATGCAATTGTCTCTACCATAGATACATTGCATCACTGTTTTCAACACTCCAACACTTAGCTTATTCTAAATATTTTAACGTTCAATTATAGATCTAAAACTATGGCGAAAAAAGTGAGGTTAGGAAACTTTGCATAGGATTAAACTTCGAATTAATTATAAGGTCTATGGCTACGAGACATTCTCTCAAAAATGAATCGCCGAGGAAGAATATAACCAATATATTTAATCAAGTGATTTTAAATATTTTTGTATCGTTTTAGAGGTTACTCACCGCGTCAATGTCTGCAGGGCGCGCCTTCGCCCTTTCGTCATCCTCCGTGTCGTTCGCCAGACCGTTCGTCTGAACCTGCTCCTGGACCTCGGCCATCGTTTACTGCAAGAACAAGAAAAACGACACATGTAGAAAATATTTAATAGAATTAAAAATTAATATTTATCAATTACCACTTAATCGGGTATCACCATGGCATGGCCGTCACTTATCTTAGGGACCGTATGTTATGGCAAGGCCATGTTACTTGGCCAACTTGCATACATTATGCTATTAAATCATACTGAATACTTTCAAAATGTTATGTATTCGCTGTGCATTCAGGCGTTTTACACATAAACTGCAACGTCATTCGTATGTTATGAAGCTGGGTCAAAAAGACGCTGTAATCTAAGATCGTTTTTTGACATTTGTGCGGCTTTTAGGTTATGTTTTCGCCTGACTGCACAACAACCGCATGGCTTTTGTCAATATTAGTATGGAAAGTTCTTCATAACATGACCTTGTCATAACATTTTTCTGTTATGCGACAGAATCGGTCCCTTAATCTTAAAAGCTACAAAAAGAGCAAGATGAATGCAATTTGCAATAATTTAAAGAGTTGTGATACACAAATAATTTGACATATAAATTAAATGATTGAACGGTTTTCATATATATAATTATATGCTGTACAGTTGTAATGTCCCCACACTAAATTTATATTATTAAAGCAACATCTGGCAATACTCAAGAAGCAGGGAGTCTGAAAGAAGTGATGCGATTAATTTATTGAATGTATAAAAATGATTTATAGAGAAAAAATACTTTTGGTATTAGATAGGAGAAAATTCAACTGTTTATATGAGTTCTTTAAAAGAAGGAAATCAAAACAAAATTTTTGTCATAACTTAAGTTATGACCAGAATGACATTTGACAAACCAATTTTGACACTGGTTTTTTTTAGGACTTTATCATCATAAGTCGATTCGACAGTTCATAACTTTTTTTTTGAGTTGTCCATGTTAATTATTTGTTGATCAATAATTATTGATTTTTTTTTGCTCGAATACTGTACGGAAAGTTCCAGCAATTTGCCTTAAGGCTCGATGCCATGCACCACTAGTTTGTAACGGTATTTTTATGGCCTAGTACTGTATGAATGTTTCTTTCAGTGCAAGTTTTTTTTGTAAAAGTCATTAAAAGATAAAAACAACATTATCTAATCTTATCTCGTTTCCTATGAATCATCGAGTTTGTATTTAACGAGAAAAAGTTATCTTTGTCTTGTCTTTTAAATTCTTCGACATATTCTCAACAAGTATTATCGATAAAACATTATCGATTAGAGAGATATTTCAAAGTAATATCAACTGAAGAAAATGCATATGCATGTAATAAATGCAATATGCATATGATCAAAATCATCTTCAAGATCAGCCAAAATTAAGGTCTAAAAACGATTTCAACTAAAGATTTACGAGGATCAATCTCTCTTATGTACTTGCACTGGAAGAAATTGTACAAAAATATTATAGGCCTATGGTAGGTGCTTTATCCATGTTACAATTGCCCTCGTAGCAGTGTTGCCCGATTATAACAAATGTCCCAAAAAAACCCTCGACTTGCCTGATGGCAAAAATTTATGTCATATTTCATTTCCTATAAAATCTTCCATATACTTATTGTTTGTTTTTTACTACGTGTATTTTTTCTTTTCTTAGTTTTCTCATAGATTAGATAACAAAAGATACAATGGCCGTGTTCGTTCCGTTATGTAATCACAAACTAATTTTTTATCGTTCGTGTCAACGACAAATATTTATCTACGTGATACGTGAAAAATGTAATAATAAATGGAACGGTACTATCAGATAGTGATATTAGATATACCAACTTGTTATTAAACAAGAGGGAAATATTAATAAAAAAAACTATAGACCAATACATTTAATGACATCAGGAAATTATCCAATTAGTAAAAATATTATTTTTTTGTGTAGAAAGAATATATAATTTGCGAGCGAAAGTTCTGACAAAATCAAACATCTCTTAAGGGATTAAGAAAACTAGTGGTGTATGGCATCGTTTGCAAGGCAAGTTGCTGAAAATTTCTATACCTTAATGAAATATTCTAATTATAAGAATATTGAATGATTTCAAATATATTATTTTAAGTGATATTTCAAGTCATAAATGAGCTTTAAAACTTTAGCTAGAATTAAAATTAATATCCGAAATGGCTAGATCTGCCTTTGCCAAAAACTAATCAGCGTGCCTCCTTATTAATAAAAATCGAATGTTTTTTGAATCATTCTAATTGGTTGATCCGTGTTCTCGAAATCGTCGACGAAAATTTGTACCCGCACACATGCATACATACATCATAAAAGATAACTAGTTGGTATTGGTATTTTGCCTTGAGCAAGTTACATGAACTTCCCGATATGTATAAATCAATAAAAAATAAATTCATTTATGAGTGATTAAAAGTTAGGGAATTTATTACACATACTTTTTGAAAACAAACGAACATCAAATGGTTTTTAAATTTCTGAAATCGGTTCAGGCGTTTTTGAGCAAACACCGATGAAAGTTCTAATTTTTACAGATACCAAAAAAACGATACTAATTTTTGCAAACTTTGACGAATTTTTAAAGTAAAACGAGTTGTAGAGCCGAAATATTGTAGTAAGATTCATAAGAGTATGGTATCTATCGTCAAAAAAAAATTCATAAAAATCCTCTAAAATATATTGGACAAAAATTTTTACTTTTCTGCGATTTAGAAAAAAATGGCTTGGCTAATTTACGGAACTGAGAAACGCTAGTCCTCATTAAGATGCATGGAATGGCTTTTAAATTTTTGAAATCGGCCCAGCCGTTTTTGAGAAAACGTCGATTTGCGGCAAAAAATCTGTTCACACACACACACACACACATACTTTTTCCTTAAATTTGGTCTCATTCGATTCAGAATGGCTTGAAACGTCCAAGAGAAAACAAAATTAGCGAATCGGATTTTTTGGTCAAAACATAAACTTCTCCTTCGGGAAGTTAATAAGTACATTTATACCTTTTTCCTAAATATTGATAAAATCTCTATTACGTTTGCATCGGTGGTTAGGTTAGGTAGTTAAGTAATAGTATTTAAGGAATTTCCTGGATGGATTTTCACTTAAACGTAATTCCTAAGTGCATACTTTGTCCGTTTTGTCCTGAAATTGATTTACGGACTTCTAGGAATTTTGTCTAGCCGACGGGGCGCCGTCGCGTGTGCCCCCTTGGTAATTACATACATATACATAGTCACTTTGGAATATTAAGTATGAACTGTTATTAATAAGTTAATTTATTATTTATACATGATATCTTTATACATGATATATTATATCTTTGTATATAAAGTTATCTCCTAAGTTCTGATTGCTGTTTAAACAATAAAAAATCATATTTTTATTGAAAGTAAAATTTGGTTTTAATTGTGAATAAATTTTATCGTAACGGTTTATGGATGTGACGTCATCTCGGCAATGTTGCCAGAGTAATAAATCAACCATGAAATGGTCATTAATTGCTCAGATAACAATTATTAATGGATATATATATATATATATATATATATATATATATATTATAGCGACTTATAAATAGAACTCTTTATGTGAAGATCTATAAACTGAAATTCAATACTAATGAATAAGTAATACAATTGCATCTTATCCAAATCGCTTAATTTATTTACAGCTACTTTTAAATAAAAGGAATTTTTAACTTTCCGTAGGGTAAGTTATAGTAATCGCAAAAAAAATCGAAAATAAACATTTTTGCGTATCTTTACATTTTAAGGTAAAAATGGATGTATGTGTGGCGGTCAAAAATGATCATTAGACATTTACACATCAAATTATCAGCTATTTTATAAAGATTTTAATAATATTTGTCAATTTTGATTACATTCCTATGGGTTCTGTACCAATGTTTATCCGTTAGACGGCGACGCGACGCTTACGCGCTTCGATATTTTGTCTCTATTCTGCTAAAGCAGTGCGATTGCTTTGAAAAAAGTTCAAATTTCCAAAACATTTCAAAATAAAAAAAAAACATTTTTTAAACCTTTTTTTCCAAAAAAGTCAATATTTTTGAAAAATTTAATATTTCTCAAATCTATTTTTTTTCAAAGTTTAAACAAAAATTTAATTAAAAAAAAAAAATGGTACAGAAAGTTCCAGCAATTTGCCTTAAGGCCATACACCTCTAGTTACATTTTTATTAGAAATAATGATACGAGTCAATATACAATTTTAGTCAGATATTATTTCAAAAGCATATGAATTTTGCATTTTTTATTGTAATTTATTTTATATAAATTACAATCTGTCTATAAGATTAATTAGTAATTATTTTAATAATTGGTTTGATAATCGTGGCTTCTTAAGAAACCCCCAATGGTTTGCCTTTTATTTGTGTATATCTATTTTATATCTCTAACCTGAAAAAGGCCTAGCTTTAGGTTGAGTGCACTTTTGGCCTGTCCGTGAGATTGGGCTTGTGAAAAGGCAAATGTTTAATAAATTATTCATCTAAATTTATTTAATTAAAATGATGTTAGAAAATATATATTATAGTATTTAATACTTAATCAATTATAGTAATTATCAATGAATAAATATGTAATTATAATTTTTAATGTATATACTCTAATTAAGAAACTGTCTTAAGATTTAAATTCAAAATGAAAAACTTGTAATATTTTTTAAACTTTGGCCAATTTAGAAAAAAATGCAAAAAACCATAATAATAAATAATAAAAGCATCAGTTAAATAAGATCAATCCAAGACATAGTTCTTCTTACTATGATGAATTCATCACAACGAATTTTAATTCCGGGGTCACAAATAAATTTATGAGGTTAATTCCACACGATCCGGGTCCCCTTTGGTAAAACTACAATAGAGAAATATATGGTCTCTTCATCTAAATTCAAATATTGCTTTAATAAAATTATAAATAAGGGTTTTAAAATATGTTTATTAATGGATGCTGCTGCGGTTGCTGTAAGAATATTTATTAAATTGATTCTTAATTTATTGAAAATGATATCTTTATCTGTAAATTAAA